TGGAAAGAAAAAGTCACAGATTAATTTGTACAATCTGAATACGAGTACAAATTTCTTTTGATGACAACGACATTGCTTTAAGTTTCCTTGTTCGTGAGAGACTTAAGAAGCAGAAAGAAAAGTTTCTGGAATCACTTATCACGATTAAAAAAGATTTTTTTTTGTCCTCTAGCTTGATAATTAAAAACTTAATCACAAAAGTTTTTGCTTGAGCATTTAGATATAGGAAGTGAGCTTTGTTGTGAGGTTTGACTTGCTAAGCAGAACTGCAACTGATCAAGGCAAGATGCGATATGCAGGAAAAGTATCTTTAGAATCTTATTCTATAGAATTATGTTCAATCAAGGTTAAAATTCCTTCAAGTTACTTCTATTGTCGAATGTCAAATTACTTCATGCCTGACTATGAATAAGTCTAAAATGCGTCCTAATCAACTTCCCAAATTACATTTTACTAGTCAAAACCAAACGTCGTCACCTCAGCACTAAAAGAAGCAAAAGACGAACCATTTTCATGCTAATTTGAATTTTTTTTTTTCATTCCTTAATTCAAGGATATGAGACTTGTAGAATATGAAGGAAAGTAACTGCAGACAGTCTAATGTGAGGTGTTGTACTTGACATTAAATTGTCACCACAAACAAATGTCAGCGAAATTAATTCATTTTGTTAGTTGATACCACAAAGAAGAGCGTATGAATGAATGTAGACAGCATTAATGGCACAAAATGTGAGTAAAGACGAGAAACTTTTTTTGTACAAATGAAATTAATTTTAATTTTTTTGAGAACTAAGAATTTCATTAACAACTGATGATGGTGTTGGCGATGACGTCTACAATGATGATGATGTTGTCATGTCCCATGCAATTGCACTGCTTCTGTAAAAGTTCAAATGCTAGGGAAAAAATAAATTGAGAAAATGTTGAATATTCTCTCGCACTGGAAGTTGGAAAAATCATGCAACAGGTGGTTTTGTAATCTCAAAATAAATTTTCATTCATGAATTTTACTCATTGGAAGTGAGTTGGAAGTTCATTCAGCTCCCAACATTTTCTATTATTACATTAAGTATTAGACTTTCTAAAGCAATCGTCGAGGATGGATATTCAGTTGCAAAAATTAATTTCAAAACCAGTTCTCATAACTGGATATAGAACAAACTGTCCTAATTCTGTCCATGTCAATAAAAATTTTATTATCCAAAAATAACTGAAAATGGATGAAAACATTAATTAAATCCTCTGGATCGTATCAAAAATAGAACTAACAGGAAGTCGAGATGCTGAATTTTATTGCTTTTTTTTGCCTCGGATATAATTCTTATGTTCTACTGGTCATGCTGTCAGTTTACATTATCATGACGATAAATAAAATTGAAAATTATTCTGGCAAAAAAAAGTAGCATAGGATATGTATGATATAAAGCATGATGCATGACCGAAAATAATTTTAATGGAAGAAAAAAATTCAATCAAGGTCATTCATGCACATCCAATCAGACGAGTCATGAATTTATTACATAAGATGCATTTTTTGATCTATGCTTACTCAAGGATTATTTTCGATTATATAAGCCATTTTTATGTCTTGTGTCATGTCCGAAAGTCGACCTTTTTACTTTATTCTGCATGTGTAGAAGTTCCGATGAATTATTGCATGTTGACGTCAAAATACGACCTTCATGTTTAACGCATCGTACAGCAATATGTTTTATTTTTGATACACTTTATTGCCGTCAGATAACAAAGCATTAGTTTCAGCTTTTTGACTTCAATCTTGTCTCAAAATCCCTTTATTGCTATTTATAGGATGATATCATGACAATCCTTGTGAAATATTCACCATTTTTTGTGATTTTTGCTGTGGATGGATAGAATTGGGATTTAGTGCAGTTGATACTGTTGGATTTATTTGGGTTTTACTAGGCTGTATAGAGTTCAATGAGCTTTGAAGTTTAATGATTTTTGACTTATTTCCACAAATTTTTAAATTTAACAGATTCTTCAAATTTGAATTTAATCAAACTTTCTTAATTTAAATTTTTAACGGTTTTTTGGAACTTTTGCTTTTAAAATCCAGAGCCCAACTCATAAGATTCACCGCTTATATCCATTCAAAATCTTTCGCTAAAGAAGCCATTAACAAAATTTAATCTGAATTTATTTCAGAAAAAATTTCTTTCACTTCTTGTCACTCGACCATAAAAAGTCTTAAGCAGTCGAGTAGACATTTCACATTCTAAGATGAAACAAAGACTAATAATCAGCTTTGATGTCGTTGCTCTGTTAATATTGTTATTAATTTTGTGCTGATGCTTGTATTTCTTTTTGAAAATATTAAGTAAGCATAAGATAATTAAATATTATATTAAGCAGTGGACATGAAAAACAGACATGGATAAGATTTGTAATTATTGCTGTTAATAGCATCTGTAAATGGAATTTTGGTGTAGTTCTATACCTTTTATTGGGGAGGTTTATGAACTTTAAAGTAGCAATGCTTCCAAATTTAATCTCCCGCCTTTTGGGGATTCTCTAAATTCAGACCACTAATGCAATTGAACTCGATTAAAACTCTAAAACATTGACAATACCTTTTTTTATCAAGATAGCCCGAAAAAGTCACAGATTCTGTGTACAAAAAATAATAAAAAATCGCCAAATTTAAGGTGTCTGCCTGTGTTTGCTAATTTGTTGATGTCAACGCTCCCCGCGATATTTAATTTCGTTGATAAATCATTTCTTCCTTAATTAGGCAACTGAGCGAGGCTATTTGTCAGACGATGCTCGGTAATTATTAATTCTACTGAATAATTTGTGTGAACAATTAGCTGGAATAGGTTTGGAGCTAGAGACTTGCTGTAACAAAGAAAATATGGGCTTTTTGATTTATTTTTGGAATGCTTGGAATAAATTCTTGTTATTTGCTGCCTAAAGTTTGATTAAATCAGCCTTAAAGCCTCACAAAGCTTAAGAGATTTTTTAAGAATTTACCTAAACTTTTTTGGAGCCAATAAATGACAAAATCACATTTTTTTTATCTACAATATCGATTTTTAATATATTGTTCTTATAAGACCTTTTAATGCTGTTTCTGCTCCGTTTTCTTATCAAATTTCTAATTCATCCTGGCATTCATCCTTAAAAAGTCAATATTTCCCCAAAAAATCTCTGAATGTACAAAAAAAAAATCTCAATTTCCTCCTGAAACATCAAAAATTTGTACGACTCTAATCACTTCATAACAGCATTATCACTTAATGTTATCTAATACTTTCATATTAGTCAGTATTTTACTCCTAAGGGATCCCCTCTAAATACCATCAAAACATTATTTCCATCCGTAAGTCTTAACAATTGGATCTATTTGTTTCAAAACTTACTCATCTTCTTATCGCATCTAGCAGAAAAATGAAAATCATAAAAATGAATAAAGTCAAGAAACGGGAGAAAAAGAAAGGAAATAAAAAAATATGAAAAGAAAAGTTATTGGCATAAAATAGGTCATTTCATCAATTTCTTTCCATCATCACAGCAGCAGTGAAAGCAATAAGGGGTGAGACAAGTGAATGCCTGCAAGCAAAAATATCACAATAACAATTTTCTTTTATTTGTTATTCTATCAACTGTTTGGAGTCGATGCCTGGATGGAAAGTTTGTTTTTATTTTGAAATAGAAAGGGAACGGCTGCAAAAATCGGGAACTTAATGAAAATAATTTTCTAATAAGGGGCCGTTCAGTTATTACGTTCGCATTTTAGGGGGGAGGGGGGGGTTTGAAAACTTGTAACAAAATGTAAAATAGGGGGGGGGGGTCAAGAAGTATGCAACGTTCACCTTTTTAATGATAAAATAAATTATGAACGTTCAGGGGGGGGGGGGGGGGGGGGGGGGGGTGAGTTGTAACATATTGTAACAAGGGGGGGGGGGGTAAAATTAAATTTTCAAATTTCAAAAATCCGTTGAAAACTTAACCATCAAATTTTCTTTAAAATATGTGATTCCAAGTAATAAAGCGAATGATCTCGTCACTGCCTTTCAGAAATTTTTTGATAGTAGACAGCAAAACTGTTCGACTATTAATTTTATTCCCTCCAATGCAAAACTTTCTTCTTCTTCCCTCGCCAACTTTGTACTTCATTTCATTACATTAAATTCCTGTAGAGATATAAACGTGCACATAAAAATCCCGAATGAAATCTGGAGCAGCAGCCATATAAAGCAAGTGAGGAGAGGAGATGGCAAAAAAGAAGAAAGTTTTTCTATTAATGTAAAAGCAAATTCTCAATAATTTATGTTCGACATCGTCATTAATGCTGTTTGCTGTGATTGCCGATGAACAGTAAGTACAAAAGTGTAATCGAGATGGGATAAATTGATGACTTTGCTGATTATTTGTGCATAATATTATTCGTACCTCGACTGTGATTCCTCGTCGATCGAACTTTATTAGCTGACAGTCGAAGGTGAGAATGATAACTCCTGTAAATATGAAAATAGACGTACATGTTATGCAGAACGCCATAGGAACAAGTTTTAATTGAGCATTGCTGAAGAAAAAATTACAAAAATTACAGTTGATTGGGGGACTTTAGCGCATTATTGACGCAGCGATCTGTATTTGATTAGCATCAAAAAGCGAGTCAATAAGGGGCCATTCAATTATTACGTAACGCTTTTAGGGGGATGGGGGTCTAAGATTTTGTTACGGTTCAAACAAGGAAATTTTTTTTTCATACAAATTTTGTTACGAGGGGGGGTCTAAGAAGTCATTTTTTCGCGTTACGTAATAAGTGAACAGCCCCTAAGCAAATAGCTCTAAAAGTTTGCCTTAAGCAAAGCTTTCGTGTTGTATTTTACAAATATTAAATATAAGGTACAGTCAAAAGTTATTGTCCTTCAACGGTTTTTTAAAACTTCAAATATTTTAACGGTAGAATATTTGAATTTCTGAACACACTCTGGACAATTTCTATAACGGTAGAAAAATTTCAAATTTATAGACTGTAATTATACACTGTTTCAAGACTTTTATCCAGTATCCAGTAACGATTCAATACTTTATTCTCATTTTTTTGCCAAAATAATTAATATATCTTAGGGCCGTTCACTTATGACGTCCAGGAGGGGGGGGGGGGGTCAGCAAGAAATTCATTGTTCTTTTTTGAAAGCCGTTAATTTCGAACGTCATAAGTGAAGAATTCCTTGAATATTAAACTTTATAAAGGATCGCGACAAATTCCAAGTTGAAGATTTTTGAATTTTTTATTAAATGCCTTTTTCATTGATGGCACCCAATCTCCACCTCCTTCAATTAGTATATTCTGGATAATATCACATAAAGCCATTTGTTGTCCTCGAGCATTGTTAATATCTCCATCGTTTATCAATTGTAAAATCCTTAAGCTTATGTCCGGATTGATATTCAAAGAAGTCATGATTGCAGAGGAAAATCCTAAAGCCAATGCACCGCACAATATAGTGTCACTTCCAAGAAAAACCTGACCATGCTTAAGACACTGCAAGCCCTTCTCTAAATCACCTGACGTATATTTGATTCCGGCGAACGTTCCTATTTCAGATTTCGCTAGTTCCATAAAATTTGCCATCGGAAGATCAACATTTGTAAACATTGGAATATGATAATAATAAAGAGGAATCGATGGACAGTAAAAAGAAATTTTCTTAAGATACTTCACAAGGCTTTGAATATCTTTAGGTTTAAAATAAAGTTCTGGCAAGCACAAAACACCATCTACTTTTAATTCTTCAGCATGCTTAGCTAATTCAATGATATCCCGAAAGCAACATCCACTGATTTGAACCATCAATACAATTTCAAGTTTAAGACAAGCTTGATGCCATTTTTCTGTCACCAACTTTCTCTCATTTACATTCATTGACATTCCTTCACCGCTAGTTCCGTTCACTAAAACGGCAGAAATTCCACTATCTTTTAAAACTCGAGCATATTCCTCAATAACCTCCAAATTAACATCATTGTTAGCATCAAATGCAGTAAAAACTGGTGCCATTAAACCTTTAAAATCAATTAATTTAGACATTTTCACTTTTTTGTTCTTCTCACAATAATTATTTCTGTGTACGAGAAAGTTTGAAGATGTTTTTAAATGCTTATTCTCTTAAAGTATGAGTAAGCGATAAGAATATGATAAGGTTATTAAATGATCAGGCAAATAATCTTAAGTGAACAAGAAAGTTTCATTTATCAAAATAAATTTGTTGGTTTTGTTTTGTTCTGTCACAGATTACATTGGTATGGGTTTACTCGATAACGGCAATTCCAGGGATAGACGGAATTTTGAAAAAAAGTGGCGTATCCATGTCACTAATGTTGTTTTATTTTGAAAAATTGTTTTTGGTAAAAAAAAACACACCTTAGCTCATCAATCTGTACCGGATTGACTTTAATATTGTTTCTTTAGCTCATCAATGTAATAATTAATTAAAATTTTTATTAATTCGGTCGTAATTAAAGCAAAAACTAAAATCAAAATTCTGTTTGCTATTTTGGATCAGACTAGTGTCACATTGAAATTTGTCAGTTACCGAAATTTTTAAGCCATTATCGTCAAAATTAATTATTGGCTTGGGGTCATTCATTTATGAAGTAAACCAAAAACCTAAATATTAGAACCCTCTACCCCCTCTGTCACAAAACTTTTACAGATGTCAATACCCCCCCCCCCCCCCCCACTTGTGACATCCAATTAAAAACACAAAAAAATTATAATTTTCTCATTAAAAAATTTGATGTCACAAATTTTCTGGCCCCCTTCTCCCTTAATATTGGACGTCATAAGTGAACAACCTCTTATTTCAATCCTATTATTGAGCTACATTTTCGAAACTAGGATCAAAAATGCGCTGAAAAATAAATTTACTTGCATAGCAATGTGTTTACATTATGCAACGGAAACTGCTGTAATAAGTTATCATACTCGAGATGCGTTTCAAAAATAAACAACGTATGAGAATAAACAAATGTATGGAAATTTAAAAATAAATTGGAAAGAGATAAAATTTTATTCTGTAATATTTCACAGTGCTAAAATCATTTAGCAGGTGGCTTTTGTGGTTGCTCAATATTTTGAGAGCACTAAGAGTGATTTTTTGGGGGGATTGATAAACAAACTGTATTTTCTGGCTTTTCGGGTCAAGATTTCTGTGGTTTTCTACGAATGAATTATTTTTAATCTAGATCAGAGTCTATTGAACTGGACAACTAAGCATTTTTGATGCTTACTTTCTAACGCTTTATTTTCTAAAATTGGTTACCATTCAGTCAGAAACACTTTAATAAGGCACCCACAAAATGCTGAATCACATTCTCAGATTTTCACAGTCAACTCGTAGGCTTTTTTAATAAAGCACATAGCAAAGGAATTTCCTCATTTTTGGTACATAAAATATGCTTCCAAGAAGAAAAAATTCTCATTATAAATTTTTTAAAATAAATTCTACCTACACACTATGATGCTCTTCCTTCATTCCATCCTCAATTCTAAGGCTCCAAAAGTATCGCTTTATTTTTAATAATTCATAATTAAATCATATGACTCTTCATAGCTTCATTTATCTTACTTTCAATTCAATTTTGTTTCATAAATCTTTTTTTGGGGTCGTTCAGCAATGAAGTTAAACATTTACGTGGGGATTAGTGACGGAGGGGTGGGGGCTCTCGAGAATAAGAGTGTCCATCCAATAAGAGGAACCGGAACCTCTAGCTACATCCATACTTTACTGATTTGATTTTCTTTCCGAATAAAAAGTCAAGTTGAAAATTTATGAAGCGGCAAAAATTTTCTCTGTGCTTGAATTTTTATATTTTTTCTCCTCTTTAAGCAGCGAATCTGACCATTAAGAGGGACTAGGAATGTGAATAAAAGCCAATGTAGCAATAACAAGAACGCTTATCTTTACAAATAAATTTTACGTTATTTAAAAAAAGAGATTTCGCAATTTTATTTTCTTATGAATGTTTTATTAAGCAAGCACACATTTGCTTGCCATGTCTTCTTATTGATAGCAATTTCCGAATGAGATATTCGAGACAGAAGGGTGGAATCAAGGGAAAATGAGTGTGCGACAGAAGAAATTTGTTTAATTTAAATTACGACACGAATCATAAATTCCTAAATGATAAAGTTCAAGTTTACTCTATAATCATGATGATGATGTTGATGATGGCAATGGAAATAAAGATTCCTTACAAGATTTAAAGACAAATTCATCATTGCTAGTTGATTCATTTTCAGAATGAAAGACATAATTGAAAAGTTTTCATTCTCAGACTTATTAGAGTAATGAGTTAAGGTTGAGTAAAAATATGATAAGCAGCAGCCAGTCGAGACAATTCACTTGAGGATAGACGAGTAAATGAAAATGCAATTCTTCATTTTTAAGCATTTTATTCTCATTCGGACGATTATGAGTTCTGGAAATCTGCTTGATGAATAAAACAAAGTTGAATCTTGAGGAGATTTGAACTTTTGAGACCGAAGTTTAAATTAAGGCTTCATAACTTTAAATCGTTAGAAAATTGCAATAAAATTTAAATAGTCAGCTTTAAAGTTTGACAATTATCACCTTCATTCCTCCCACAATCACTTAACATTACAACACTCATTGACTCAAAGATTCCAATCAAAAACTTAATAATTCCAATCTTAATATTGATTTACTCAGATCATTTATCACAATATCCAATTCTGAGAAAACAAAAAATTCCAATGAGAGGATTTATGCTACAACGCAAATAACCGAAGGATGCTCTTCAAATAAAATCAATACTCAAATGTCAATCAAGTGAAATTTAAGATAAAACAATCGAAAATATTGCTTTCGACTCTTAAGCTATGAATTTTTTTACAAGCCAGACAAATATTTGCATTTTTTAGCAATTCTACAAAAATATTCACTTTGAAGTATTTACTTGAATTTCAAATTTAATCCAGTAGCAATTTTTCAATAAAAATTTGCATTAGAGTAGAAAATTCGGAATGAAAAATGAGAAATCTTGTTCTCAATTTATTCTAGCTTCCCACACACAAATTCTATTTACATTTATTCGAGAATTAACACTAAATGTGTTCGATCGGCAGATAAGTTGCATTTTATGCTTTAAGAACCTTCAAATAGTCTAGAAACAGACACAATATTGATTTTGGTGTGAATTTGAAGGTTCTAAAAGTTTAAAGTCAAGTTATTTAAAATCAACACACGTTAAACACAATCATATGTTTTTTAAGCATCGACAATAATTTCCTTTTCGACATTTTGTGTACCTTCTTGTAAAACTTCAACATAAATTTATTAAAAGATTGTGAAACTTTATTGAAGCGTGTGAGGAAACGAGCATATGTGAGCGGAAACAAATTTTCTTGGCTTACATGAAAAAGCATAATTCTATTGGTAGAAAATTATGAAGCACAAGTGGTTGAATTTTCTACCTTGAACAACAGGAAAAAAAAAATTTCAATTGTACTAAACGGTCTCCAGACAATCTTCATCGATTTTTGATTGCAACATTGAGCATAACATTGAGAATGTAAATGAAAAATTGTTTATTTCTTTTTTGCAGCGTTGTGTGCGTTTATTGCTTCAATATTCCCCGTTTAGGGACCTTGAAGCAATTCATACTTTACAGGTTGAATTTTTGAAGCTTTAAGAACGTGCGAAATGACAAAAATCATGATAGGAGTCGTTTTAATGTTCTGTAAGGCTCAAATAGCTAACACTCCTCCGACCATGTCTTCTCATTTTGTAAGAAATAGCTTGTCTCCTTCTCTTCATCCATTCGTTCCTTAATATCCAAACGATTCCCAAAAAACTGAAATATTCTGCACACTTTGTAAAAGAAATGTCAACGAAATGAAAGAGAGGACATAAAAGCTCCAAAGAACTTTTACATCAAATTCCAAATTAAATTCTTCCGAATATATTGAAAATAGACACAACGTGCCTCAAGAGGAACAAGAAAGTATGAATTTTTTTGGCTTATTTGCAGCACAGTATGAAAACTTTTTCTACAACAATATGTTTTAATCTTGTTAAAAGAATTAAAAAAAAAACACAAAAGCTTTTGTTCTGCATGATTAAATTTTGAAGGTTTTGTGGGAAAATTTCAGGATGAAGAAGTTTGACAAGAATTTAAATAAAATGTTGATGACGTCTGACGCTGATGGAATTAGGTGTTAGGTGAGGTTTAAGAGTTGAATGATTAATTATGAGCTTGAATGTCAGGTTAGTCTTGGGGATGACATCTAATTAAGAAGAAGAGTCATTTTTAAGTCCAAATTCTATTGGATTTAATCCTCAGCAATCAAAAATAAGATAATTGTCTTAAATAGTTCATCCTAAAGATAAAGAAAATTCCCAAAAATATAGAAGTCAAGCACCATCAACCTTATTAACAAGATCCCCAGGTGTCGAATCAAAATTCCATCTTATGCTTGTTCTCTACAAAAGTCCAAACACAACAATACAAAAAGCTCTCAGCTCCTCGACATTATCTTATGATTAATTCAATAAATGCTATTAAGCAGCAACAAAAATGTTGCAAGCATCTCAATTTCATTACATCATTCATTTCCCTTCTTTTATTTACTGTGTAATGAAATTGATATAAGTTAATGATTTAATGTATGATATCACATGGGATGAAAATCTATTTGCTTCTCCATCCTTTCATTTCTTATTGCTCCATAAGCAGAAATAACAATACATAATTTTTGTAAACAATTTCTTTCATCACATGAAAAAGCTTTAATTATGAAATAAATTTTAAAACAAATGGAAAAGTTTTGTTTTTGTTGTTAATTAATTTTTTTTTGCTCATTTACTTCTTGTTGTGTGCTTTAGACATTTTTGAGTGCAATGTAAAATTGAATGAGTTTTGTTTGCCTTAATGAATGATGTTAAATTTAGAACTAAAGCAAATTTGACGTAAATTTAAGTTGACTTAACATTAGAATTTTTAAAAGCTATCAACTTAACAATACTTATCGGATCTTAGTTTATTAAAAATAAGACTATATCAACCTCATTAATCCATTTATTACCAGAACCTTTATTTATTAAAATTTTGAACTCTGCATGAACTTTATTTGTTATTCTAAAGTAAAGTCAAAGTTCAAAATAATTTACGATCGTAATTGAATTCGTCTGAATCC